GCCAGGTAAAGGTTAGTAGCGACCTTGACAGCTATACAATTGAAATCTGTCCGGTCCTTTCTCCATCTGTGCTCTAGCCGTCTCCTGACCCGCTTCGATGCCTGAAGATCCTGGTTAAACCAGGGCGCTGGGCGGTCTCTGCGGCGGAGAGGGTGTTTAGGAGCGATCATGTCTACGGCACTAGCTGCGGAGGTGAACCAGCCATTGACCAGAGCCTCGACAGGAGCGCCAGCCAGGTCAGCCGTAACCCCTTTCATGGCTTCCTGGAATCCCATCGGATCCAATAGCCTTCGAGGGCGGACCATAACAATGGGTCCCTGCTCCCTGCGAGGGGGGAGAGCCATTTTGAGGGTGCATTTTATCAGGTGGTGATCCGACCATGACAAGGGTACTGACTCGAGGTCAGTCACCATCGGACCACTCTCGCTCCCGTTGGTGGAAAAGACCAGGTCTAGTTTGTGGCCACCCACGTGTGTAGGGCCGTTGACATGTTGGGACATGTTCAAGAAGGCCATGGTCTCCAGGAACTCAAGAGCTGGCCCAGACGTCTCTGCCCCCGCATGGACGTTGAAGTCCCCCAAAACCAATAGCTTCGGGGAACCAGCAGTGCCACAGAAGCAAAGTCCACCAGCTCCGGTAGGGAAATGGCTGGGTCACGGGGAGCACGGTAACCCAGCAAGATCCCAATACCATCCCTGGCCCCAATCGACACGTGGAGAGCCTCAAGATCCGGCTTTACCACCGAGGAGCGCCTAGCTACCTCTAAGGTGGATTTATAGACAATGGCTACTACCCCCCCGACCCTCCAGTCTACCCTGGTTTTGGACAGCATAACCGGGCGGACAGATGAGAGCTGGGGGGGACCCCCCTCTCTGCCAATCCATGTTTCGGTTATGCAGGCCAGGTCTGCATCTTCCTCCAGGATGAGGTCGTAGATTAGCTGGACCTTGTTAGATACAGACCTGGCATTCAACAACACCAGGCGTAGAGTGGAGGGCTGACTGATCTGGCTACCTCTATACTGGGGGTTGGACACCGTCTCAGAACAATGAACAGGTATTAAGCATCTGTCCCTTGTTCTTCTAACATGAGCAGGGATGGCACCAACGCGATATCTCCCCCTACCCGTGACCACCGAGATGTTTTGGGACCCCTCGCTGGGAGGGCAGGCCTTCCATTCCATGACCAAGAAAAGAAAAGAGAAGAGAAAAGGGAAGGGGGGGGGAGAAAAAGGAATGAGGGGAGGAAGAGGGGAAAAATATAACGGAATATGAACAACAACAACAAAAATTAATAAATCATATATAGTGCAAAAAAGTAACAATAATATACATACATAAACCAATACAGTGTAATAATAATAAATTTAAAAGAATAAATAAATAAATAAAAATTACCAATGACAATGGAAGAGATCTCTTCTCCTTTTGCCTTCCTATATTTCTTTGCAATAGTTTTTATAATAGTTCTCTTCATCTCTACATGACACTCAATGAAAAACTGCACTCAGGGTTCTGACCCTATTTCTTGCACCATTTACTTCTGACTCTTGGCTGTCTTTTGATTTTCATCCCCTATGGCCTAACATGGGGAGCCCCCTACAGGAGCAGTTGTCCTGGGCGCAAAATTTTTAGGGGACCCAAAATTGCTGCCCTTTCATGCCCACTGCACTCTGTCTTGCCACTGGGCTGTCTCAGGTGGCTCCATCTATCTATCCTCTCTTCTTCCCTCCCTCCCACCATGGCTTCCCTCTCTGCCTGTTGAGCGCGGCACTGGGCAACAATGGGGAGTAGATTGCCCTGTCAAGGAGCACAAGCCAGTTGCCTCTGTCTGACACCCCTTTCCAGGGTTGGTAGAGGAGATGTGGTGGCAGTGGCTGCTGATGGACAGCTGGAGCCACGTAGGCCAGGCTGGGGGCATCGAGGATGCTGGTGGATGGAGCTGAGTGCAGCTGTGTGAGCCCCTGGCTGGGGCAGCAGCAGTGGCAAGTCCAAGGGTTAGGGGGTGCAATACCTGCTGCCAACCCGTGCTACTCCATTGTTTCTTCCATCTGTCATTAATAAGAAGCTTTCTCAATTTAAATGCAAAAGATCCCGCCAAGATGTTTATTTTATCTTCATTCTTTTAAAATTGCATACATCAGTTCCTATCCTTCTGTGGCCATGGTTTAACTCTTAGTTCCTGCCCAATCCAAGAAAGCAGAACCTCTGTTTAATAAAGTATTTATTGTTTTAGCTTTAAAATTTTATATAGACATGTTGATACCTATGTGTATAAAGGATCCCAGAATCATAGGACTGTATAGTTGGAAGGATCAAACAGTATAATCTCGTAAACCTCACTGATGAAGAAAATTAACAACCATATGTTGAGTTATAATGTAGTTGGCCTGTGACTCCAGCAGTTTGGTGTTCTAACATCAGTATCCCTCTCTCTTTTTTTGGTACTTAAAGGCTTTTTTGAAACATCAAATAGGCAAAGAAGCCTTTTGGATAGGTCTCACGAGGCGGAATGATAAAAGCTGGGAATGGGAGGATGGAGAAGATGCAAGGTGAGTCTTTATTATCATTTAATCCTCAGCAGTAACACCTCAAATTGAGATATTTCTGAGGGGCAACTCTTCATATCATTGTTTCTGAGGCAGCTGCTTATTTGAGGAAAATAATTTTGAATTAAATGTTGTAACTCAAATGAAGCTGAAGGTTTTTATTTATTTATTTATTTATTTATTTATTTGTTTGTTTGTTTGTTTGTTTGTTTGTTTGTTTATTGTAAGTATATACACAGTACTGTATACCCATACAATGAAATTCACAGACATCCAGAGACCAGACACATGCACACACATAAAATTCCCCAAACACTCCCCACCCACTAAAAAAAAACCAACCCCAACACTCCCCAC